GGATTTTGAGATCTGATTACACCCTTGGCTGCTGAGGCCGGGGAAACACCTGCTCCATTTTATCACAGAGTCAGGCAGGTGTTTCTGTGTCTGACTTCAGCCACTAGCTCAGCATTGTCCAATGGAACTATCCATATCTTCCAAGACGGTAGCCACTGGCCATGTGACTACTGAGCACTCGAAATGTGGCCAGTGCAAGTGAGGAGCTGACTTTTAAATTTTACTAATTAATTAAAATTTAAATTTAAATGACTACAAGCGGCTGGTGGCTCTGTCCTGGACAGCACAGGCCCGATTGGCAGCATCTGCAATTAGCCACCTGGGTCAGCTTCCTCCCATTCATTCCCTAGGGGACCCTGGCTCTGCGCCCCACCCAGAGGGGGAATGTGGATTTGAAAGTCCTAAACCGGACGTGGTGGGATTACTAGCTGGCTTCTTGGATTCCCCCTTATATGGCTGATGATGGCTACTGTGACTCTTTCCTGCCTCCTCTTTAGCTGCAGACCAGGGCAGTGTCCAGCCAACGGGGCCTTCAGTTGGAGTAGTTAGGATTTAATCTCTGAGGCTACTGTCCAGTCTCGGGATGGAGTCTGGCCAGCTCCATGTTGGTGGTCAGGCTTACAATGGGCTTTTTAAAACTGGGTAACCATAGTTCTGGGTCATAACCACCCTGCCAAATCTGAGCACAGCTTCTTAAGTCCATGTGCGGGAGCCTTGACAATGGACTTGGTTGCAGAATCCAAGGAAGTTCAGGCCCTGACACTTGCCTCTGAGCTCTGTAGATACAATCATTTCTCCTCTGCAAACTAAACTCTTCTGTATAGCAGAGCTAAAGGAGGCTGCCTTGCTCTCTCCCTTAGGAACTGTTTTTGTGATGCCTTTGAGTTTCGTAAAATGTCCGTAGTGTAGTCTAAAATGGTGCAGCCTTAGTCACTTGGATGCTGGATGCTGCCACTCAGGAGGAAGAAATCGTTGATAATACAAGCTTAGACATATTGACATATTGTTGTTCCTGTTACGTGTAAAGCACCACCACTCTCTAATACCACTCGGAAGTAGGTGCTATTATTATGCCCATTTTACAGAGGAGGAAACTGAGGCATAGCTAGGTCAGCCTAAGATGGGGGAGGACCAAGTCAGAGCAGAAGCTGGGAGACAAAGCACAGTGGGCAAGGAAACCCCGAGGCCAGGACTGGGCAGAGTGATGTCCGGTCTGGTTGACGTCAGTGTTCTGGGGGTCTGGGGTGAGGGGCAGGGAGTAGGGAGGAAGCTTCAGGGCAGTGGCACATTTCAGGAGGTCCCACAGCTAGACAACGTGGGATGATGAGAAGCTCGCTCAGCTCCCCTGCCTGCCCTGCACTGAGCTTTCATTTCTAGCTAACCTGGAGCAGGAACTGGTTTCCAGGGACTCAGGGAGGAGGGTAGATGGCGATCGGAAGGGGACTCCCATGGGCATCCCTTCCCAAGACTCCCCAGACGCTGGGTGTATGAATGGCTGACTTTTCCTGACGCTGACAGCTAGTGTGGAGTGTCCCAGATGTCTGGCTCCTGCTGGGGTTGCGGGTGGCGCTGGCCAGCACTGTGGCCCGACAGGGACTGGCACCTTCCTTGGATGTGCATCACATGGGATGCTGGCAGTCAGTTTCCTGAGACGGAGATCCTTGCAAGAGGGATTTATTGCAGGAGTGCTCTCTGGAGAAAGTGGTGAGGAGCAACTCTCTGCCGAAGAGGACAGGTGTGGGCCGTTCACAGCCACCCCACCCAACAGCTGGGGGCTGGGTGCCCAGCCTGGGAAGCGGGCACCAACATCATGCACTGCCCCATTTTCAAGGTCCACGGTGGCACTGCTTGCAGGCGCCCCAGAGCCTGCTTGGTCCCTGGGTGTGGACAGCTTCTCCCCGAAGCTGCAGCAAATGCCACCACTGCTACAAAGCACCAGGCTTTAACAAGCTCGGGTGAATCCAGAGAACAGAATTTTGCAGCAGGCAACTCAAGTATTAAAAGTCAGTGCTAGCAGCACGTAATTGAGGTAGTGACGTGCAAACCTCCCAGTGAGTGCTGACCTCTTTTTACAGGACTTCTGGGACCCCATAGCTTAGAAACAGTGGGGGATCTGCTGCACAGCGGAGCATAAAGCCAACAAGCAGCAGCCCAAGTGAGCCCCAAATTCTCTGGGTGGACACCTCCCCCCTGGGGAGCTTCCTCCCGGCCACCACGGTCCACCAACAACCCCTCATCCAAATCTGGTTTGGTCATTTTCCTCCTGGGCTTTGTGCCCAGCCAAACACAATCTCAGCAGGATCCTTCAGGCTCCTTCCATGGGAAGAACATGGCATTCTCCTTCTGGGCTCAGGGAATGCAAATAAATAATTCACTATATTTGCACAGGCCGAAGATTGCATGCCTGTCTGCTCCTGCCAGATCATCAGAGGCTGTGTGTGTGTGTGTGTGTGTGTGTGTGTGTGTGTGTGTGTGTGTTGGGGGTTGATGGGGGGAATTAAGATAACAGAAAAACCCAGTGTGAAATTCAAGGAAAGCATCACACCTGAGGTTAACACGGGCACAGCTCTTACTCCACCTGGTGAAGTGTCAGCCCCCATGTTCCCTTTAGCCCCAAGAAGACAGTCATCAGAGAGCTGGCATTGGTGTTCACAGAGAAAGAGAAGATACTGCTTGGGAATGGAAATAGAGACAGGCACTCTGGGAGCTGGGACAACCTCAAAATGCTCCCTGTGGAACTCAGGGAAAGGAAAGGACAAGGATACTCTTTGATTAGGACAAAATCGTTATGAAGCAACTGGACGATGGAATTCACTTCATTCTCTGCTATGATCTGGAATAGGCTTGTTTTTATTGAAAAGATTTAAAACACATCATCTCGGACCCCCTAAACTTTTCCCCATCGCTGTGCTATGTGTGGAGGACTGAGGAATTCAGTCTCCACCCAGACCACCCCAGCCCACCTGTAGGCACTTCTCTTACTCGGTTTCTTGCCTTCCCACCTGCAGGGCGTCCAGGTGGGGAAGCTCGCTTTGAAATTGGCAGACACAGGGCTGGAAGAGAAGATGTCTCTCTGACTCACCTCAGCTTCCTCCCAATGAATGGGAACCACAGGATTTCTCACCAGCTTTGTCTGTAGCTGCTGGTTTTGCTGGTAAAATACCGCACGTGAATATTCACAGCAGCATTGTTCGCAATAACAGAAAGAAACAAGCCAGACGTCCTCCAGTTGATGACTGGACAAACAAATTGTGGTCTATCCACACAATGGAATATTATTTAGCCATACAAAGGAACGGAATACTGACATATGCTACAACATGGATGGACCTTGAAGACGTTATGTTAAGTGAATTAAGGCAGTCACAAAAGACCATGTATTGCGTGAGCCCATTAATGTAAACTACCCAGAACAGGTAACTCACAGAGACAGAAAGCAGGTTGGTAGTTACCAGGGGGAGGGGAGAATGGGGAGTGACTGCTTAATGGGTATGAGGTTTGCTTTTGGGGTGTTGAAAATGTTTTAGAACTAGCTAGAGATGGTGGTTGTGCAACATTGAGAATGGATGAAATGCCACTGAACTGTTCACTCTAAGATGGTTAATTTTGTTATGCGAATTTCAACTCAAATTTTAAAAGATGCTGCAGACCTTCTCCCTGAGCCAGGCAGCTGGGCCTCGTCACCCCACACCCATCCTCCTCTGCGTTCTGCCAATGGGCCTTCTCCCTGATGGTCTATGGGATGAAATGCCTTCTCTGTGCCTGGCACTGCTGGGGCCCCTGGGGGAACAGCTCTGCATTTCCTGAGACTGAGCCATCTCCAGCCTAGTGACATGGGCCCTGGTGCCATCAGCTTCCTGGTCTACATGTTTTCACAGGGTTGATGTGATGATGAAGGAAGATAAGGCCAGGAGAGCTCATTGGTAGCAGGAATATGAACTATAACTTGATCATTTTTGTACTCCAACCCCCACTGGGACAAAAAAGAAAACAAAATATTTTATTCTATTCCACAGCTATAAGCCTCCCATCCACCAGGGGGCACCTTCTAAGGACCCCCATCACCAGTTCTTCCATCAGGAAGCTGTTTCCTGAACTCCTCTTTCTGCTGCTCCTTCCTCCACTCCTCCCTTAGTGGGGTAGGACCCAGTTTTAGCAATGATTTGAAAACTAACTCCATGGGGTCGTTGGCCATGGGGCTGCTGGGTCCTCTGGTTGATGGCTTTTACCATGGAAGCTCTGCAGTTTTAAACCCTAAACCAGAAGTTGGCAAACTTTTTCTGTAAAAAGCAAGAAAGTAAATATTTTAGGCATTACAGACCATACTTGCAGGTTGTAGGCTAGATCCATCCTACTGCCTTTTTTTGTTGTCCAACCCGTGAGTTAGAGTTAAGGGCTTAAGAATGGTTTTTAGTCTACAGCCATACCACCCTGAATGCACCCAATCTCATCTCATCTTGGAAGAATGGTTTTTACATTTTGAAATGGTCAAGTTGAAAAAAAAAAAAAAGAATATGTGATGTGAAAATTAAATAAAATTGAACTTTCAATGTGCATAAATAAAGTTTTATTGGAACACAGCCATGTTCATCCATTATGTATTACCTATGGCTGCTTTTGAGCTACATCGAAAAGTTGCTAGATGTGGCAGAGAGGATATGGCCCATAATGCCTAAAATATTCATCATCTTGCCCTTTATGAAAAATTTTGCTGACACTTGTTCTAAACAAATAATGTTAGTGCTTAAAATCCCTCCTGAGCTCACATTTGCTGTCCTGAGTATCGGCATAAATATTTTATGAATATATAAACATCTTCTATTTACTCATCCGTAAAATGAAGGTAACAGTACTATCCTGATGAGGTGGTGAAGATTAAATGATTTAGTGAAGCAGCTAAAATAGCACCTGGCATTATAAGCACTCAATTAATGTGAATTCTAATTATGTATAGACTTGTTAATGTATAGACATGACATCAAATAAATAAAGGAAACAAAGACTCCTTCCCTCCTGATTTATTTTGGAATGTGCTGGAAACAATTTGAAACATCCCTTTAATAGCCTCCTGGCCTCACCAGGTTGGATGACATGACAAACTCTCCTTCATAGAAGGTACAAGTGCATCAGAACCGGAGGGGCATTTTGGATCCTTCCGTCTTCAGAAAGTGCGATGGCATCAAGATGCGTCTGGTTTTCAGTAGAACTGGCCCATGTTTCTCGGGAGTGAGGTGTCCAAACCACTGTTCATCCATATTTCCTGAATGATCTGCTCCCTGCGCTCAATCCTTTCTGCCAGCTCTGCAGCCTCAATGGAACTGTAAGCAGGGTATGAAGTCCTACCAAACCCAGACAGTTCTCCTGGGAATTCCGAGTCGGAGGAGTCCTCCCCCTCCTCTTCATCCTCACTGTCCTCCTCGGCCCGGTCACTTCCTGGCACCAGGTGCTCCTTCCCGAGATGCAGCTCCCGGAAGTCCTTGGTGCAGGACACCTTGATGACCAAGGCACACAGTGTGAGGGCCAGGCCAATGCAAACGCTGGACACGAACAGCAGGGCGGCTCTCTCGGGGTGGGCTGGGAAAGGAAGAGGGCATGTCAGGAGGTGCGAGGGACTGTCAATCTTTAGCAGTTCGAAGTCCCACAGAAACAGACGTCTGCCCAAGTAGGTGGCTAACCAAGATCACCAGTCCAGCATCTTTGAGACCACCCACCCCTAACTGATCATACACCCCCACTGACAGTTTCAAAGCTTTTGAGCACATACAGTGAATATATGTATGTAAATGAGAACACACATAGCAGAGGGACTCGGGAGCCAGATCCCTTGCCAAGTTCAAACTCAGATCTGCCACTCACTAGATGTGTGACTTTGGGCAAATTACATAGCCTCTCTGTGCCCCGGTTTCCTCATCTGTAAAGTAGGGCTTATAGTATCTTCCTGTTATCGAGTTGTTATAATTAAATGAGTTGATTCCTGTAAAGCTCTTAGAATACTCACAGACATATAGTAAATGCTCAATAAAAGTGTTAGCTATTATTATTAGTAAGAAAGTTGATTATGAAGAATTAATTTACATACAAAGTAAATTATATACAAAGTTCATAATTATTAATTAGGAAATTAATAATATAATAGATGTTAGTAAAACTCAATTCTTTCCTTCCTTCCTTCCTTCCTTCCTTCCTTCCTTCCTTCCTTCCTTCCTTCCTTCCTTCCTTCCTTCCTTCCTTCCTTCCTTCCTTCCTTCCTTCCTTCCTTCCTTCCTTTCGAGACAGAGTCTCACTTTGTTGCCCAGGCTAGACTGAGTGCCATGGCATCAGCCTAGCTCACAGCAACCTCAAACTCCTGGGCTCAAGCGATCCTGCTGCCTCAGCCTCCCAAGTACCTGGGACTACAGGCATGCGCCACCATGCCCGGCTAATTTTTTCTATATATATTAGTTGGCCAATTAATTTATTTCTATTTATAGTAGAGACGGGGTCTCGCTCTTGCTCAGGCTGGTTTTGAACTCCTGACCTCGAGCAATCTGCCCGCCTCGGCCTCCCAGAGTGCTAGAATTAGAGGCATGAGCCACTTTTAAATTAAAAAGTAAATATTCAGTTGTCCCTCAGTATGCACGGTGGGTTGATCCAGTAACCCCTGCCCCAACCCATGCACATCCTCCCGTATACTTTAAGTAATCTCTAGACTGCTTATAATACCTAATCCAATGAAAATATTTGTTACATTGTATGGTTTAGGGATTAATGACAAGGAAAAACATCCCTACGTGTTTGGTATAGATGCAACCATCCATTTTTTTAAAAAAATTTTTCAGTCTGTACTTGGTTGAATCCATGATACAGAACCCATAGATACAGAGGGCCAAATGTAACATAAAATGTAAAAGTAAAACATAAAAATTTTATAAAATACAATCAAATATAAAAAGAAAATAAATATAAATGCAGTATAAAGTTCTAGTAATTTTTCCTGGGTCCAAATGGATTGTCTATATGATAATAATAGAAATACAAATAATGCTAATAGGTGCCAAGTGTCCTACCTACGTCTTTACATCAGCCTGTATGAGAAGGACTGTGCTACTTTTCTCTTGTCCTTACCCCCACATTATGGTTGTGTGCCCCTAAAGGTGTCATCACCCCTATTCTGGAAAATAATGATCCATTTAACTCCCTTATAACATGGATCAGGAATTGACAAACTTTTCCAGTAAATGGCCAGACAGTAAATATTTTAGGTTTTATGGGCCACACAGTCTTTGTTACAAATATTCAACTCTGCTGTTGTAGTGCACAAACAACCACAGGCAGGATATAAGCCAAAAAGTATGGCTGTGTGCCAATAAAACTTTATTTATAGACTTGGCCCACGGGCCAGTTTGTGGACCCCTGATACAGATGCTGCAGCTGAGGCCCAGAGGGGAAGCCACTGTCCGAGGTCAGGTGACCTCCTCGGGCGGAGCCACTCGGAACTCAGGTTCTAGGTGAGCTCCTTGTGGGGTGCACAGTTGGTGCCCCTGCATTTTCTCAGTACATCTCACCCGAATGGACCCTCCTTCGGGCACACTGCCTCCCCTTTGATTCCAGGCAGATAAGGGAGACTGCTGTCTTTACTGCCTCTGCCCTGCCCAGAGCTCCACCCTGGAGTCTCACACCTCCAGACCTGAGTGTCAGGTACAGTCAAGGCACGGGCTGCCGTGACCTGACTGGAGATGGAACTGGGACAGCTTATCTCCTTGAAACCTGAAACCTCCCCATTCGGCTTCCTTCACTTGTGGCTCAAGTCACTGGTGTTGTCACTGGACTCCAATGTGTTGCTCTTTGTTGTAGCTGCCCCTGCTGGTACAATCCCATCACCCTCTTTAAGACTCTGATGTCTTCATGCAAAATTTATTTTGGCTGGGGGAGGGGCAGCAAGTCACGTTGACAATTAATAACCAGATATTTTTCCTAAGGTCTAAGGTATTTAGCAGATTTGGTTGAATACAGACAGGTACCCTTCATGAGAGCAGTGGGGGCTCTGTTTATTTCTGGGGATGGTGGCAGAATGGGGATTTGGAGACACTGACACTCGAATAGGGACAGTCATTAAATAGTAATGCATAGGCTGGGCGTGGTGGCTCACGCCTGTCATCCTAGCACTCTAGGAGGCCGAGGCGGGCGGATCGCTCAAGGTTAGGAGTTCCAAACCAGCCTGAGCAAGAGCGAGACCCCTTCTCTACTATAAATAGAAAGAAATTAATTGGCCAACTAAACATATAGAAAAAATTAGCCGGGCATGGTGGTGCACGCCTGTAGTCCCAGCTACTCGGGAGGCTGAGGCAATAGGATCGCTTGAGCCCAGGAGTTTGAGGTTGCTGTGAGCTAGGCTGACGCCACGGCACTCTAGCCCAGGTAACAGAGTGAGACTCTGTCTCAAAAAAAAAAAAAAAAATAGCAATGCATAAAATGACACCAAGAGCTGAGGCTCTGACCCAATGGGGCAGCTCTTTCCTCCTTCTCCCCGCTGCAGATGAAAGCCTCAGCTCTCCTGACTTCACTCTCCCCTTTCCTGGCTTCTCCTTTCCTCTCCCTGCGGCAGCCCCTCTGCCCTCGATCTTCGAGCCACCGTCCCTGCAGACCCTCCTCTGCTGTGGGGCTCTCTTAGGGCTCTCAAGGCGGCAACCACTCAACTTCTCCTTGGAAAACATAAGCCCTTGAGCCCGGTGGGCAGCGATGCCGCTGTATCGAGGGGTGCTGTATGTAAGGAAACTGAACCCATCCATTTATATATAACCTTTGCCAGCTACCTACGGTCAGGCCAGTTCCGGAGTGGAACAATCCCATCCTGGTCAAGCCTGTGGGAGCATGATCGTCCTCGCCTGGCGCCCTCCCAGCGGCCGTGTGCAGGGAGGGCCAGGTCGTCAGCGGACAGAGGCAGGTGCACCATCTGGCTCTGCCACAGACAGGCAGGTAACTGCAGGCTCATTACTCTACCTCTCTTTTTATTTTTTAAGGACTCCAGGTGGAGAGAATTGTATTAGCCATAATCCTTAGGGCATGAGCCACTCTCTTCATTGGTTAATACATAGCCTCCTTTACGTTCATTTATTTCATGAATTACCTTTAATAACTGTAACGAGCACCTATGCTGTGAATGAGCACCTGCCTGAGAGCAAGGCCTTGACAACACCTGTGTCTCACCTGTACTTCCTGATGCTGTGGCCTCCCCATCAAGGTGACTAGCACCTAAATGCCACGGTCATTACTCCCTTGCTTGCTTTTTTATATAGTTGATTTTCTTTCTTTCCTTTCTCTCTTTCTTCTTTTTCTTTCTTCCTTCCTTCCTTCCATCCCCTCTTCCTTCCTTCCTTCCTTCCTTCCTTCCTTCCTTCCTTCCTTCCTTCCTTCCTTCCTTCCTTCCTTCCTTCTTTTCTTCCTTCCTTCCTTCCCAGGCCCATCTGCCCTGCCTGGCCATTGTAATCTTTAAAAAACGCACATCAGTCCAGGCATGGCAGTTCATGCCTGTAATCCTAGCACTCTGGGAGGCCAAGGCAGGCGGATCGGATCGTTTGAGCTCAGGAGTTTGAGACCAGCCTGAGCAAGAGTGAGAGATCCCATCTGAAAGAAAGAAGGAAGGAAGGAAGGAAGGAAGGAAGGAAGGAAGGAAGGAAGAAAGGAAGAAAGAAAGAAAAAGAAAGAAAGAAAGAAAGAAAGAAAGAAAGAAAGAAAGAAAGAAAATAAATTAGCTGAACAACTAAATATATATAGAGAAAAAATTAGCCGGGCATGGTGGCGCATGCCTGTAGTCCCAGCTACTCAGGAGGCTGAGGCAGAAGGATTGCTTGGGCCCAGGAGTTTGAGGTTGCTGTGAGCTAGACTGATGCTACGGCACTCCAGCTCGGGCAACAGGGTGAGACTCTGTCTCAAATAAACAAAACAAACAGACAAACAAAAGAAACTACATATCAATTCACATCACTGGTTTACTTAAAACTCAGAGATGGTCTTTCCTCTCTCATAAGTTGTAAATCAAGTCCTGATCAAAGCCTGTGAAGCTTGCTACCACCAAGCCATGCTCTCTCCCCAAGTTCAGTTCCCAAGAGTCTTCCCTTTACTCTCTGACCCCTGCCCGGGCCTCCCATTCCCACATGTGTCAGATGCCTTCATGCCTTGGCATTTCTGCACATGCTCCTCCTTGGGCCTGGAAAGTTCTTTCCTCCCCCTTCATCCAGTCCCCTGTGCCTGCCCCTGCCTCAGCCTGGGCCAAGTCCCTCGTTGTTGTTTAGTCCCAGAGCATCTTAAATTTGTCTCCTTCACTGCCCAACATACAGTTGTCACTAACTCGCTGAGAGTTTCATCCTTTCTCTCCCCGTAGGATACAAGCTCCCTGAGCGCAGGGCTGGGACTGTCCTTGTCCTTCTCCAAAGCCCCCGGGCCCAGCACCGTCTCTGGTGCACGGTGCATATTGCACGAATATTTGCTGGGTGCATGAAAGGAGGGGGTCATGGATTTAAGCGCTAGGCTTGGTGCCCTGCGACCAGGACGCCTTATGTCAGTTCCCTTCCTTCCCTCTCGCTCCCCTCCTGGCAGGTGAGCGTCTGGGTTCTGTGGCCAAGAGAGCATCTCTGGTTCCTGACACTCCCGGTGCCTCTTGGCTCAGTCGCCTCTTGCTGAGTGAACACTGTCTGGGGCGTGTCAGCATCCACTCGACTCCCCTGAGTTCCAGCCACCAAAGACAGAGAACGTGGGCAGCTCCTGCCCCGCCCTTGGGAAAGAGGCTTCCTACTCATCCCAACCGACTAGCTTGCAATTATGGAATCAGCAGATGTTGGTTAGATGGAATCTTAGAGAAGAGCCAGCCCAACCCCTCCCGCTGTACCCGAATCGCATATTCAAAGCCACCACTTGGCTGGGACCCCAAGGTCAGGCCAGGGCTCTCTCCATAGCCCCAGTGTGTACACTAAGGGCACTTCATTTTGTTTTCTAGAATCATTTGGACCACTTTGGCCTTTTGGGACCCTTTTTTCTATTATATATTCTGGAAAAATAAAGAAATTCTCCTTATGGGTGAAGGGAATATCCACACTGTGACATTGTTGGTATTATTCCAAATTTAGCCTTGGCTCATCCAGGCTAGAGTGAATGACTTGAGTTTTATCGGCTGGAGAATGCCCTTGGCAGCCTCAGAACGTGGCCGGTGGCTTTTGAGACCTTTTGTGACCCTTAGGTCCCGGATCTGGGACCGATACAAGCTGCGGCTCAAATTTATTTTTGTCTAGATAGGAAACCCAGAGGCCACGGCGAGAGCTCCACAGCCTGGGGCCACAGCCTGCTGCTGTCGGGAGGATCCAGGTGGCAGCCAGGGCCAGCGTGTCCCCCAGGAGGAAGCACGGCGTGTGCCTGGCCCTGGTCTGTCAGCACTTAGGGATATGACGGTAACTTTCTGCCACGAAACCAGAGACTGGAGGCCGTGGGAAGACACGTCAGAATCCACAACTAGCGACAAGCGGGTGCTGACTGCCAACTGTCCTCCCTGGCTGGGGAGTCATGTGGCTCTGACTGTGGAGTGTGTTATTCTACTTCTACCGCAGGGCGGCTTGTCTGATCTCCTGGAGTGCCTTTCCTGTGAAACAGTGACGCCTCCCCAACTAGGGACATCTTGGGCCATAAGCCTGCCCCCTCCTGCTATGGCTCCTTACCCCGGCCCCGGACACCCCGCACACCCTGAAAGTCCACAGCAGGGTCCGCCAGAGGCTGAAGACACACATGTCCCTGTCCCCAGGGGTAGGGACAGTGTCGGAACTATTAGGCCACCAAAGGCATGCCTGCAGGCACACATGAGGCAAACACACGGAGCCAGATGTCAGTAAAACACTAATTGGGTGGAATGAGAGGGGTCATGTTCCGAGGCAAGGCTGTCTGAATGAATAAGTCCCCACAGGCACGGTCTGCAGGGCACAGTGGCTCCCGTGGAGCCAGCCAGGGAGCTGCCTGCTCAGGAACCCCCAGCACACTCTCTCTCTCTCTCTCATTCTCTCTCTCCACCTTTCAACTTCTCTAGTTTCAAACTCTTTCCAGGAGATTCTTCAGACCCATGGTCTCCAGATTCTAGAATGAGTTCACGGAATAGGTCTGTACTTTCGCAATGACGGCAAAATTAAACATGCCTAAGAAGCTGTCTTGCTGTTGGCAAAACAACCTCACGGACGACTCAAATAGCCGCAGGAGAAACCGGCCATCGGGGACCCGGGGGCATCTCCAAGTCCCTCCGCCCACCTCTGTGTTTCAGTATCGCAGGACAAACCTCCCGACTCTGGTTTCTGGCCAACTCGTCCTCTGCGAGCACTCGACTGCACTAACGTGTCAAAGCTACGTGCAGCCAGACCCGGGAAATGTCCTTTTGGAGTCACTCGATTTACCGCTTGTTTGGCTGCTCAGAGCGGGAACCTGCCCTGCCGGTGCTCCTGGCTCCCGGCTGCTCCTGCCAGAAGCTTCTCCCTCAGGGCTGCCCAGGGCCCCAGCCCCACAGCAGGGTGGAGGGTGCATCTCAGGGTTGCCTGGGCACCAACCCTGTGGCTAGGGTGGGTGTGGAGGGGAACTGACAGGGCAACTGAGGTACAGCACACAGCACAGCTGTACTGTGTGATGTACCGGCTGCTCAGCGAGTGACGTGTGTCACTCCTCGCCAACTGTTTGAAGGGTTTTCATGGTGCCTTTCATCCAAGGGGCTCTCCAGGGACTCCGTAAATATGAAGTCCTTGCATTTCTTAACAATGACAACGACCAGAAATAAAACTGCAATAAAACCCATCGAGTCCTTACATCTAAAAAAAATTTGGTATCTTATCAATAGCAAATACTGAGTGATAATTAGGCACAGGGCAGCTCATTCCACCAAATCTCGGTTCCAGATTTGGGGAACTACTTACTGTGCACCTGTTCTGTACCAGCACTGTCCTAGACGCAGGGACGTGACAACAAATAAGATGGCAAAACACCCGCTCTTATGGGGCTTAACATCTTGTAGGAGAGGCGGGCACTGAACAAATAAATCCACCCTACTGTTTCTGGGAGCCATGAGCACGTAAAAGGATAGAACAGGGTGGACAGGGATGGAAGGAAGCTAATTTAGGTAACTCGGGATCGGGAGGTTTCTGTCCCTCAGGAGGGGCACACTCCTTGCCCAGGGAGGTGGGAGTGCAAGTGTCACTTTAGCAGAGTCTGAATGCTGGCCCTGCCTCTGTCCATGGTGTCCTCAGGCAAGTGGCTCAACTCCTCTGACCCTTGGCTTCTTTAAGTGCAGAATGGGGGACGAGAGTCCCGTCTGTCAGGGCTGTTGCTATGGACATACATTGAAGCTCTAGCCCCCAAAGTGATTGTACTTGGAGATTTCAGGAGGTAAGTTAGGTTAAAAGAGGTCATAAGGGTGGGGTCCTAACTTGATAGGACTGGGGTTTCATAAGAAGAAGAGATCTCTCTGTCTCTGTCTGTCTCTGTCTCTCTCCCCCCTCTCTCCACCATGTGAGGACACAGTGAGAAGGTGGCCGTCCATAAGCCAGGAAGAGAGCCCTCACCACGAACCCGTCAGTGGACACTTCCACCATGGACTTACAGCCTCCAGGACTGTGAGAAAATAAATGCGTGTTGTTTAAGCCGCCCAGCTGCCGGCGTTTTGCTACAGTGGCCCGAGCTGGCTAGGGTGGGTGTGGAGAGGAACTGACAGGGCAACTGAGGTACGGCACATGGCACGGCCACAGCTCAGTAAGTAATGTGTGTCACTCCTCGCTGACTGTTCTTGTCTGTTTGAAGGATTTTCATGGTGCCTTTTTTTCTTCCAAGTGGCTCTGTAGGGACTCTATAAATATGGAATTGTTGCATTTCTTAACAATGACAATGACCACAAACAGTCAGACATGGCAGTGGGAGGGCAGTTAGAGAAGAGAAGATTCACAGAGAAAACCAGCAGCCACACAACAAAGGCATGGAGGAATACTGACGCAGGAAGGCAGACGATGGGACAGTTTAGGACTGCAAGGCTGAACTCTGGCTCCTGTATGAGATATTTCCTTAAGCCTCTATTTTCCCCTACGACAAGCTTACCCCAAATAGCCCCATCTCCACAGCCTTAAACAGTAATACTGTCGTGCATTATATTAATGTATATTTTATCTAAGGTCTCAGAGGTTTTGGCCTCTCCAAACAGAGTTAGGCAAGCATTGTGGAAACTTGCAGTTGACATTCCAAAATACGATCTATATTAAAATAAGCAGACAGGGTGGTGGGGAAAATCGTACCTACCTTCCCCTCACCAAAGAGGCCCCGAGGCGCGGCCACCCTCAGTCTGGCTTCGCTAATTCTGGAGGGCTGAGTCTGATCACTCCTTGTGGGGCAGATTAACAAGGGAATCCTTGGCAACCATGAGAAATGACACTCAGAAAATGGTTCTGTCTTCATGGGGCCTGACCTGTGTTGTTTGCTAAGTGATCTTCTGGCTCATTTTTCTTCCAGTGGGGAGTGGAATTCAATAATCCAAGCCCTTCCCAAATTGTAGACCTGGGAAATGCATTTCTTGGGTTCCTACTTTTCAAAGGGGAAAATATCTGTGGAGCCCAATTCATGCATAATGTAACTTGATCGATTTATGTCGTTCTCTTGTTGGTTGCCTGGTTGCAACTGAACCTGAGTTCAGGTTTCTGAGTTTCTGGCGCTTACAAGACTGCAGTTGGCATGTCACACGTAAGTCATTTTTCTTTAATTATCTGAGTGTTGTCATCGAACAGTGCATTTGTTAATAAACTTCAGCAAATCCATTAGCATTCTAGGAAGCTTCGATTCATTGACCTACCTCTAATGTAAGCAAATGCTGCCAGAGAGTTGCTAACAATAACTCCATCTTTCCTCAGAACCCTCGATTCGTTTGGGTTGAAGTTTATACCTGTTTCATAAAAAATGCAAGACCAATTAATCACAGCCGTTCACAGTACGCCCGTCCTAAGAGACCCCTGCCGCTCCTAACCCGGGACTGCCAGAATAATTAATCGTCCCAGAAATCAAACAAATGGGCCTCTGACTAATACATGGAAGACTAAGCCAGGAAGAGTGCTTAGTAAGCAGTCCCTGAAAATAGTATTAATAAATTATTAAAGGGATTAGAAATTTTTAAAAGTGTTGGTTCCAACTTCAGGTGCGGCTCATCCACTCCCCTGCAGAAGGGAACAAATGTATTTTCCCCTCCTGAAGGCAGTGGCATTCATCGTGCCTCTTGGAGGCTTAATAATGTCTCATTTTTACCATGGAGTTGCTGTCTGCTCTGCTCACCAGAGGTAAGACAACCCTGGAATCATGGGGGGAGGTTATGTGAGCTTACTTTTTTGCAAATGACAGCAAAATGTGAGGCATGTCTGCTTTCAGATGCCTGGTCACTGGGGTGGGGTAGGGTTCAGGGAGCCCAGGGTGAGGCAGCCTAGACACAGGACAAAACTGTCACCACCCAAAGCCGAACATTGTGGATGCTCAACTTGGTCTCTGCAGTTTCTATCATTCTAGATTTGATAATAAGAACATAATCTCACACCCTGCCCTCTATATACAAAAGCCTAAGGAGGAAGGTGGTGTGTATGGAGACCTGCAGCTCCAAGCTGGCTCTGGCCCACCCCGGTTCCCGGCAGGACCATCTCTGCAACAAGCTCATTGTATAATCCAGGAACCCCAGATTTATTTCCGAGCGGCTCTCTTTTTCAAAGTGATGTTTCTTTTAGGAAGCGAGGGAACAGAGGGGAGGTTTATTCTACTTCTGATTTAAAAAATCGAAACAAAACAAAATGGTGCAACCACTGGTCACAGAGCACTGCTACCACCAGGACTTGGGGCTCAAATACACCTCGTTTTCAAGCTGTGTCCAGCTGTGGTCACGCGGGGCTGTTTACCTTTACTTAGAGAGAAATGCAAGTAGTAAGCCATAAAAATTACCATATTCACCATCTTTCTGCTTCAAAGAAGGTTTTGGATTAGCAATGGCTGGATCAATCGCCGTGAGTATGTTCTTGGGAACTAAAAGCCAAACAGAAATATTTTAAATACTCGGTATATTGAAAAAAGCTGTGCACTTAATATATTTATAAAGAGCAATATAGATGAGATTTAAAAAATCACTTTCAAATCAGTACAAGAATCACTCTGTCAGTTAGACACACATATACACACACATGATGGTGCCTGTGTGGTCATCAAATGTCCCAGAGAGGTGAAATGGTAGGCGCATTTTACAATATTAAAATAAATAACAATATGAAGAATAAACAAGATATGGTATATCCATCCAATGGAATATTTGGTAGGACTAAAAAGGAATAAAGTACTGGTCCATGTTACAACAGGGACAAACCTCAAAAACACTATGCTCAGTGAAAGAAGTCAGCCACAAAAAGCCATCCAGTGTATAATTCCATTTATACCAAATATCCAGAAAAGGTAAATCTAGAGACAGAAAACAGATTAGTGGTTACCTGGGCCTGGGGATGGGGGATGGGTAGTGATGGCAAATGGGCACGAGGGAACTTTTTGGGTTCTTGGAAATGCTTTAAGATTGGAGGGTGACGATGGTTGCCCAACTCTGAATTTACTAAACATCGCTGAATTGTATTCACTTAAAATAGGTGAGATTTTAAGGTACGTAACACTTTGATAAAGCCGGCAATTCTGAGCATGAGCTTCCCTGAGACTTAGTAAAGCTAAATGACCGTGACCAACTCAAAATCCACCAGTGACCTCTGCCCAGCTCTGAGCAATCTGTCCCTTTGCTCCCATAAGAAACCCAAGGAGAATTCCAAGACAATGCCAGAGTGATTTGCTAAATATTGTTAGAAATGACCATAGATGGCCAGGCGCGGTGGCTCACACCTATAATCCTAGCACTCTGGGAGGCCGAGGCGGGCGGATTGCTCGAGGTCAGGAGTTCGAAACCAGCCTGAGCAAGAGCGAGACCCCGTCTCTACTAAAAATAGAAAGAAATTAATTGGCCAACTAACATATATATAGAAAAAATTAGCAGGGCATGGTGGTGCATGCCTGTAGTCCCAGCTACTCGGGAGGCTGAGGCAGGAGGATCGCTGGAGCCCAGAAGTTTGAGGTTGCTGTGAGCCAGGCTGACGCCACGGCTCCCACTTTAGCCTGGGCAACAGAGTGAGACTCTGTCTCAAAAAAATAAAATAAAATAAATAATAAAAAAAAAAGAAATGACCATAGAAAGATGAGGACAGGACGGCAGTGCAATCCACTCCTTTGGAAGGTGGTCTAAGATTCTGCCAAATGGACCCTAAGAATGAATCATGGGACGTGAGGATCCTGGGCAGATCCCCGGCAGTGCCTGCTGAATCCGAGGGGGCAGCAAGAAATCTGCAGGCCGAGCACACGACCGCAGGCTGGGACAAAGGAGAGGAAACCAAATATTCTTGCTGCAGAAAAGTGCTTATTTTTGTTTGTTCTTCAGCCCAGCGGAGATCGGGCAGAAGTGGCAACAGGAAATAGAGGGGAAGCCAATACAAACTGTGCAAGTTCAACTGCATTGCTTTTTCTAAAAGAACTGCCAAGACATCTTTGGCAGCAAGAAAACCTCATTTCCTTTCTCGGAGTGCTTGACTACATTCTTCTGGGATGTCCCAGGATCAGCAAGCACACAACACTCCTAGATCGTGAATTTTCAGGGACAGGAGCCCCCGGGGCCATCGTGCCCATCAACAGCGAGGGGGACTTTCCAGGGAGGCACAGTGATGATGCCGGAGGTGGCTGGCGCTGTCCAGGGCCCCCAAGCAATGCCCCTTGGCTGGCCAGGGGCCTCTGATCCCAGGACTGCAGCAGGGCCCCAGAGAGCTGAGTAGCGGCTGCTGCAAAACGCTTTTGGATCAAATAGCCTCACGCTCATTTCTGGGCCCGGAGAAGGACACCCCTGATTCCCTGGCCGCAATAGGTCCAGGAAGTGTCACCTCTCCCTGCCAGGAGCCGCACTCCTTTCTCAGGCCCGTCTCTTGGCTTGTTCTCAACATACAGCCAGAGGAGGGCCTTGGTGCTCCGCAAATGCCAGTGTGAGGAAGAGTCAGAACTTGATAGAGGAGCTGAGAGAGGGGTAGGGCACTCTAGCATGAGCTTTGCAGAATGACCAGACATCGAACGGATAAATTGCTAGTGTATGACACAGGCCACCGCAGGAAACCCGCCCATTCTCTATGTGGAAATGACTGACATTGGGAGTCAGAAGGTGTCAACACATCTGTCAGATTCTTGCATCTCCTTGCTTCAAACTGGTTCCGGGCGAGGATGGGGATGGGGTGCGATTACCACCCCTCAAACCCACCCCTCTCCACTTTAGGTACATTCGTGAAAACACTAGCAAACCACTCTCCACAGAGCCCCCAGTATGTGCCGGAACCCAGTCTCAGGAGTTTAAACGGTGCATCTCGCACGATCCTAGTGGCCTGATGCATATGCGCGTCATTCCCACTCCTGCACAGGGGGAAACCGAGGCTCGGAGATGCGCCCTGCACTTAGAAAGAGGCAAAGCTTCAACTCCTGCTTCGGCTTCCGCTCCAGCCTTTCCATGAAGCTATCCTGTCCCTGGAACATTCGGCCTTTGGGAACTGGATAAAAGATCATTTTAAAGGACTGTCAAGATGGCAAAGTGACTCCCACTCAGGCAGTCCCTCATGCGTCTATGCAGGCGAAAGCAGAAATGACCATTCTAATGGCCTCGAACGGTTTGCTAAATCCGGCATGGCCCCCACTTTGACTTATTTATCTATTTTTGCCAAACAAATCTGTGTCGAGCCGGGGTCAGTGCAGACGTTAGGCAGAGTCTCCACAGGTCGGACGCCTCTGCAGAGAGGAAGGTGAGAGCTGGCTGAATTCTCCAGGTCTGCCGTCCCCTGTCAGGAGGAAAGCCGAAAATCCGGCATTTCCAGGAAGTTTAGCTGATGGTGAACCTTTAGCAGTGTATGAAAGAACACTTGCGTGATGCATCTCCAAACCCGGTCAATGACCAGACGCTGTGCTCTGCACGCCCTGACCCCAGCCAGACTTGCTGCCTGCAGTCAGAAGAGCAAAGCCCCCAGCCCAAATCCCTCCCCTGAGGCTATGCAATGATGCTGAAATTCTCTGCTCAAACTAAAAGCGGTGGTGGTGTGGGAGAAGGCAGAACAGTGATTAAACGAAGCTCTATAAAATAGGAAGGAGTGATCTTTTTAAAAATGCAAATTGACATGTGTTCTAAGAAAACCTTTCAATGGCTCCGCATCGCCCTTGGATGCAAGCCAAGCCTCAAGTGCCCATCCCGGGTCCCTGTGGTCTCTGCTTGGAGCTCACTGCCCGGCCTCTGCATAGGCCGTTGCTTCTGCCCTCCCACTTCCACCTTGTGGACCCCACATACCCATCAGATCTCCCTTGCCTCAGATGCCCCCTCCTCCAGGAAGCCCTCCTGGTCCCCGAGTCCCCCAGGACCCCATTCATGGCCCCACAGGACGGGATTCACCACCTTCTATCCTGTAGCCCGTGAGCACAGGGGCCCTACTGCTCACAGTTTCCCTAGCTGCCACCTCCATGCCTGGCTTGTAGCTGGCGCTCAATTACTATGGTAGCTTGAATTAAGGCCACAAGACAACAGCACCCCCCATCCCCCTGTCCCTTTATGGCCTAAGAACAGCCGGCGGGTGGTTCAGCTGCAGAGCAGTGGTCCATGGCTTGGTGAAGACCAATGTCTTGGTTATTGTTGTCCTTGGTGAAGGACAACAATGTCCTTCTGACAGATGCTCATTTCCTTCTCTCCTCCAGAGTATCCTAGCTGGCCATGCAATAAGGGCAAGTGGTGGCTGAGGCACCCCTGTCCCCAACCCCTACCCCAGCCCAGGCCAGCCTGGGTCATTGTGGAGATGGTAGCATGTATTTCTGTAGAGATGAAGTTCCCCACAACAGGGGCTGCTTGTCGTGGTTCAGCACTTGTCCCTGACAGGCTGCTCCACCCCCGCGGAGTGGGCTATCCCAGACATCAGCAGAGCAAGCTTGCTGGGGGAAATAGCAACGCCTGGTTGGATGCAGAGGTTAGAAGCACGGCATTGGAAGAGATACCTGTTGGGGTGGGTCTTCCCTGGCCTTATTTAAGAATATCTTGTCATGGGTGGGAGGGTTGGCTGGGCTCCCCCTGACAACTATGTCTATAGTCACATCGCGTGGGCTCGGGCCAGGGCTGATCAAAGGAGGCGGTTCCCTGCCCCCCGCCCAGCCTGTGAACTGTCTTTCCATCATCGACAATGGGGAATTAGGATGGAAAGACTGCAAGTCTCCATGCTGGTGGGACCCTAACATTAAATACTACTTAGGGCCGAGGGGTGGCCGTATTGTGTCCCTTCCAGGCTCAGAGGAGGCTTCTGCCGTGGGAGGGACCAGGGGATGGAACAAGGAAGCAGAGAGCGAGGATGGGAGAGAATGAGAAAGTGAGAACAGAAAGAGACGTGGGTGGGACAGATGCTCCCAGGGCCCCACGCCGAGGCCTCCGCAGCCCCTCACAGCTTAAACCAGATCAACTCGCTTCCTTCACTTGCATCCTGGCGCTAGCTGAGGCAGGTTCACTTAGAAACCAGCTACTGGCATCCTCTGGAACCTTCCTATCACCTTCCACATCAGCTGGGAGAATAAAAAAAAATAAAAGTAAAACCCTTCATGCCCGTTTGGTGATCTACAACATGTGCAGACATTGCAGATCGTTGTTCGATGATTCAGACCTTTTACAGTTAAGAGCCATCTGGTGGGGGTGGGGATGTTTTTAAAACACCAGCCACTGAGAAAGCGATTAGAAGGTGTCTGCCCCGGGGGAGCGCGGGGGTGCTACCTGCCTCACAGTAGAGTCACCCCCTCTGTTCGAACAGCCCCTGGGGACCCCACTGATGGACAAGGGACACTGCCATGGGGAGACGAGGACACTGTCAACGCTCCCACTTCCTTCCCACTGCTTTCTCTCAATCTCCCAGCCCCTCTTGTCCTCACGTCCCCGGACACCCCTCGACTCCAGCCCTCTCTCCGTCTTTTGTCGTTACCCAGGAGGAAGCCACTTGGCCCTGGAGGGAGCCACACAGCTGGGTGGGCCACTTGTCCCTGAGAACCCCACCCCTTACCTGGCACAGGTTGTTGTCACCACCACACCCAGCCACGTTGCCACTGCGGCTTCTCAGGTCAGCCTCCCACTGCCCCCACGCGTCACACCTCCTGTCCTCTCCACAAGCCCCCCCCCCCCTGCAGCTGAGGTCCTCACTCGCACTGTTTCTCAGAGGACAGAGGCCGCGGGACAGGAGCTCCAAGACCTACCGTGTTTCCCCGAAAATAAGACAGGGTCCCATATTTATTTTTCCTCAAGAAGACACCCTAGGGCTTCTTTTCAGGGGATGTGTTATTTTTTTTAAGTACGGTATAATAATCTACGTTTATTCAAATATAGTTAAGTCTTCGTCTTCTGGAGCATCATCATTGCTCTCCAAACTCCGAATTCCATCCTGAATTTCTTGCAACTCTATTTCCTTTAGAATCATTGGCCTCAATCTCTCATGCTGAGCAATAGAGCTCTCATGGGGCAGATGAGAGGGCTGCTCGTCTTCTTTACCGCTCTGCGATGAAATGCATGGGTTGTGCAGATGCACTGCGTAGCCACGACCATCACTAGGGCTTATTTTCGGGGTAGGGCTTATATTGCACAAATGCTCAGAAATCCTGCTGGGGCTTATTTTATGGGTAGGTCCTATTTTCAGGGAAACACGGTATCTCCATCAGCCCTCCCACGGCCCTCCGCCCTCCTGTTATAAGAAACACCCCTCCCTCCCTCCTATCAAAGGTCAGCCTCACCCTCTCCGCTTCTCCAGGACCCCAATTCTTCCAGCACACCTGGTCTCTTTAGCATCTTGTGTTTCTACTCTCCAGAGAGTTCTCCAAGCCACCTGATTTTTACCGTGTCTCCTGGTGCCACCCTGGGCTGAGCCCTCACTGCCTGCTGCCTCCTAGCTGGTCTTCCTGCTGCTACTCTTTCCCAGCCATTCCCTGCCCCACAGCCAAGAGGTCTTTTCAATTCCCACCGCAGAGAGGAAGTGCGCGTGAAGACCTTACAGGCTCTCTTTTACGCTTTGGCCTAGAAGTGATACCATTCTGTCACAACTCCATTTTCAAAATCAAGCAGGAGGAGAATCCCGGTGCTCCGTGTGCCCAGAGTCTGACTGCATGACTCCCCCACTTAAAACCCTCCCCGACCCTGCAGATCTGGTCCTGTCCTCCCCAGCGCCATCGTCCTCCCCACCATGTCCTCCCTCTACCCTGACTCAGCACCCAGCATCTCTGCGGCCACCTGCCCATCCTAGCGAGCAGGTGAAAGTTCACCCTAGAGGAGGGCTGTCTTTGCAGGACCTCTCAAACCACCTCTCCCAGGATAAATTAGGGCCCCACCCCTGTTAGCCCCTCTCATAGCAGCCTGCCCTTTTATGAAATAGCTTTGTCACAATCGGTAATGATAGATGTGCCCACCTATTGGTTTAATGCCTGTCTATGTCCCTGGACTATTAACCCCAGAAGGACAGGACCGTGTCTCTTCCTTTACTGAGGAATCCCTAGCACCTGGCACAGCCGCTGACACATAGAACATAGCCCCAACATGCCGAATGAGTGAGTGACTGAGGGCTAAGAAGCTTGAACTGGACATGTGACCCCCAGGCTTTGAATGCCCATCTCAGCATTAGCTACAAGGAGCCACAGCCTTAGGGACTGCTCTTGCTTCAACCCTGAAAACACACTAGAAAATGCTCCTTATCTGCAAGCGCACTTCCTGCTCCTCATGCAGCACTCAGCTGAAGAGGCTGAGGTTACTGGACCCTCAGGGTGAGCTATGTTGGCTTCTAGGGGACCCTCTGCAAGAAAGGGCTCAGTGCTACCCATAGCTGCGTGGACAGGACAGCAGGGTAAAGACTGAGTGCAGGTTAAGGCATCCTTCCTGTGATGTCAGCGTGGGCGCCAGTAGTTTGGGAATACATTTATGTAGGCGCTTCATTGTACCTGTTACAGCATTGATATTGCAGAGAACAAAATTTTTAGTTCAGGATATAAAAGTCTGGGATGCAATAGAATAAAAGGGAATGATACATACTAGATACATACTAGAATATGCATGATCTTTGAGAACATATGCTAGGTAAAGAATCTAGACACAATGGGTCATGCATTGTATGATCCCATTTATATGAAATGTCTAGCAGAGACAAATCCATAATGACAGAAAGTAGATTGGTGGTTGCCTGGGGGGTGGGGGCTAGGCATGATGGGTGGGTTGGGGGTGACTGCTACAAGATAGCTTATTTTTGGGGTGATGAGAATGTTCTTAAATTGATTGTGGTGATGGTTACACAATTCTGTGAATATACTGAAAACCACTAATTTGTATGCTTTAATACATGAATTGTGTGGTTGGTTTGTGAATTATATCTCAACAAAGCTTAAAAAAAAAAAGGAAGAAAAAAAAAGCCTAGGGATATTTGGCAGGAGAAAAAGAGGTTTCCAAGAGCACAGGGATCAAGTTCTTCAGTTCTAGCTCTTTTTTGCTTTCCCTTTGCTTTTATGCTCATTTAAAAAAAAAAAACAAAAAACCCAGTCAACATATTAGGATTACAAACTGGAAATCAATAGCACTCTCAGAAAATAACGAACTGCTGATTTGCCTTTAAGTAGCTTTATGAAATTAGAATCTAAACAAAGCAAGCATTTCATTTTATTATTGAAAGGCACTAGGAAAACAAAGTAACGCTGTCGTGTAACGTTTTTCATTGTTTTAGGGTAAGCATTTGATCTGTTGACTCAATGCTGTGGGCATGTAGATAAAATAACTGTTGGCAGCATAGTGAGTTAGTCATTTAGGGTCTAAAAGCAATACTGAAAGATTAAATGTGAGCCAAACAATACTGCCGTGAACTTGCATGACATCCCAATAAATTTCAGAGCCTCTTAAGGACCAAGATTAAAATCACTGATACCAATTTTTACCCTTATTTGCTTGTTCTTTTCCTACCCTCCCCATTGGCTGCCAATCTGATTGCTAAAAGTGCTTTTAAAACAAATCTTGACCAAAGAAAATGCTATTGCTTATCTGATGTGAATGTCATAAACAAGAATAAAGGATAGAGGGGGGGAAAGGGCTCTTGAATATCTGGGATGACTAAAGGGCATCAGGAGGGGAGTTGTCTGGTTCGTTCCACGCAAACTCCTGCTGTTCACGTGATCAGCGCCCGCCCAAGGGGACAGGTCTCCCGGCAGCTGGTTTGTTCTTACCACACGCGTAGGTCACAGTGAGGTATTTTTTCACTCCGGGCAGGCAGGGGCTTCCGAAGTGGAGGTTGTTGACAATGACTTTGCATCTCTGTTTCCCGTAGCACCTCCTGGATAGAACGTGCAGAGCGGAGTAGGACAAGCAATCTGAAAGGCAGGAAACACCCACAAAACGTCACGCTGTGTCCCACACGTGGCCACTGCATAGCTTGCAGTATTCTCTGAAAATAAATACACTGAGCTGCATTTCAAATCAAATGGAGGCTGGGCGCAGTGGCTCACGCCTATAATCCTAGCACTCTGGGAGGCCAAGGCAGGCAGATTGCTCGAGGTCAGGAGTTCGAAACCAGCCTGGGCAAGAGCGAGACCCCCATCTCTACTATAAATAGAAAGAAATTAATTGGCCAACTAGAAATATATAGAAAAAATTATCCAGGCATGGTGGTGCATGCCTGTAGTCCCAGCTACTTGGGAGGCTGAGGCAGGAGGATTGCTGGAGCCCAGGAGTTTGAGGTTGCTGTGAGCTAGGCTGATGCCATGGTATGCACTTTAGCCTGGGCAACAAAGCGAGACTCTGTCTCAAAAAAAAAATCAAATGGAGAGTTTTCTCTGCTTATTTTCTGTCTCATTAAAGTCCCCAAGATGGGCAGAGGCAGCTTTCCGGTCATGTCCTAGAAGTCCCTGAGCGGAGTTTAATGCTGCGAGGATGCTGTCTTGAATTCTGATGTATTTTTGAACAAGGGGCCGGGCGTTTTCCTTTTGCACTGCAAGTGATGTCACGGGTCTCGCATATGGAAAAGGTAAAATATGAAGAGCCCTGAATGAAGGCTCTTGGTTCTTTTCTGACCTTTCCCACTCTTTGAAATGTTTCGTTTGTTTATTTTGAGAACCCAACTCTGCTACATGAACGTAAGCTCCATGAGGGACTATTTCTGTTTTGTTCATCATCAAATTCCCATGCGCAGCCCACTGTAGAAGCCCGATAAACAACTGATGCATGAATGAATAAATAAACTAACAAACGCGAGGGCATGGTTTTCAACACCCTGGCACAGTGCCATCCTGATTAGTAGATATTAACGGAACGCGCACGGAGGACGAGGCGCTGCGCTGTGTGCTGTCAGAAAAACCAGCACGAAGAGCCCACCTTGCATTCGCAGGGCGTGCAGTGGAGCTGGAGAGACAAAAGCCACACGTGAGAGCTGGTTCTAACAGTGGGAAACAGTGAATGAGTGTCAGCAGGGATGGCCCAGGCAGGGGGCACTGGGGTCCGAGGAGGGAGAGAAGGGCTGTGGGCAGGAAGAGAGGGCTGGATCGTGAAAGAAAGAGCAGGAATTGGGTAGGAGTGGACAACAGAGAAATGAAGGGACACTCAGGCGAGTGGGCTGGCCGTGGGCTGGAAGGGCCGAGTGTGCAGGGCAGCCTCCGTGAATAGGTGGGGCCCACACATGCAGCAAGACAGAGGCTGCTTTTGAAGGCTTAGCTAAAGAGTTTGGCCTTTATCCTGCAAGCAACAGGGAGCTTAAAGAGATGGCCTCATGCTATTGTCCTTTGCAGACAGTGTATAGCACACCCTGAGAGAGACAGAACCAAAGGCAGGGAGAGCAGTTTGGAAGCAACTTCAGAACACACACTGGGGGGAGTTCAGGACTTGAAGAGCGGTAAATGGAGACGGTGAGAATTCCAGGGACCTTGCAAACGCCCATTCACTGTTCCAGGCACTGTTGTCACTGTTGTATGTTAACCAATTTAATGTTTCCAGCAACCTTAAGAGACAGGCTGTTTGCAAAACACTCGCGCGCACACACACACAATTTGGTGGCTGAGAAAGCGGACACAGGGAGGTTCCGTAGTAACCTCACCCAGCTAGAGAACAGATAGCAGGGCCTACAGTCGACGTCTCAGCTCCACTCCCTTAGTCGCCGGGGAAGGGTGGGCGAGGGAGCCACCAAGCATGATTTCGGAGCCTAAGCTGCCGGACTGGGGAGACAGTGGTGCTCCAGGAAGTGATGGAGAAATCAGTAGGAGTGGGCAGTATGGAAGACAGGATGATAACATTCATTGAAAATAATAATAACAATACTGTCCTGCATTTGAGATGGGAGGGGCCCCGCAAGAGAAAGCTCAGATCTAGATGCCCCTGGGAGGTTCACGCCTGGAGAGCCCAGAGATTGGTGCTGGGATGAACGACGGATGGCTCAGGGAGAATGTGTGTGTCAGGGGCGATGGTGACAGGACCCGAAAGTCTTGAGCATGTCTGCTCATGTCTTGCAGATGATAAACGCCTCTACTCTCTAACAAACAGCAAAAGCCCTCCCCGTATCCCAGGACCCCTCTCCAGCCTTACCTCTTCCTTCCCAGCCAGGCCTCTATTAATAGAAAGGGTCCTCTAGTCCCCCTGCCTCTACCACATTGCCTCCTCTGTGTCCCTTCCCAAAAATGTGCTTCTGTCCCATGCACCCTGAAACTGACTTCTTCCCCTTGAAGGTCATACGAACCTGCCACTGTTCTGATCAAGAGATGAGAGCTGCTTCTAATCCTTTGCTATCTCTGGAACTTCTGGTGCGTAAATACACCTGTTGAAGGTTTCTCACCCACCTGGGCTCCTTGGTGCCTGTCGCACAGGGTTGTCTCTGGTTCCTCTGTCCCAGAGCCCTCTTTGGGGCTACCCACTCGGAGTGAGCGTGTTTCTGTGCCTCTGGCCGGGCTCTCTTCTCCCTCCTACACACCCTATGGCCCTAAGCCTATCCCTGTTGCCTCCACACCATTGAGAGCAGAAGACTAGATCGATACCTTCAGCCCTGGCCACTCGGAAACTCCACCGTGTGCACCAACAGCCTTTACTATCTTAGCAGGAACCTCTCACTCCACACAGCTCGTGAGTGTGCGCATCTGCCCCAGCACCCCCACAGCCTCAGTTCCAAGCCGGGCAGTTTTGTGGCAACCAACTGGTCCCCCTCCCTCCATCTTCTCCCCTTTGCTCAGTGTGCTTGTTCTCATAGGATCACGCCCTGCCTGAGACCCCCCCAACCCCATGGCCACATGACCAAACCCACCTGCTCAGAGCTGTGCACGAGACCCTGAGTGCTCACTGTCTTGAACTTCCCGACTTCCTTTGCAGCCATTCTCCTGGCCCCGCCTGCACTTACAAGTCTCACTGCAGCCCCGGAAAGCCAGGCCGCCATCCTTCATGCCTCTGTACTTTTGCACATGCTCCTCTGCCCTCCTGGAAATACCCCCTTCTCCCCGTCTTTTCAACTCTATGTCCCCCATGGTCCGTTACCCCGGGCAACAGGGAGAGGTTTCCTTCTCTGTGTTTCTACTCTTTCTAGATCTTACCAAGTGGCTCTATTTATTCCTCACTCGTCTGGGAGCTCCTGCTCCCAGCACCTTACCACGGCCCAATGCTCAGTAAATGCTTGAAGAAATGGCAGAACAAATGAACAAGGGTAAGGTTATAACCTCCATCCCTTCTGAACCTCCTCCTCAGCTCTTGGGACCTGCACCTGGTGCCATCACTACCAGGTATTTGCGACAGCTGCTCAGAGGAGGAAAGGAGAAGGAGTCATTAGAAATGGGTACATGACAACCGGTGGCTATGAGGTACAAGGTGGAGACTCAGATGGAACCAGAAAAAAGAGACAAAACACCATGGCTTCACACCCATGTTCACAGCAGCACATGCACAACAGCCAAGAGGTGGAAGCAACACAAGTGTCTTGTGATGGATGAATGAATAAACAAAATGTGGTATATCCATACAGTGGAATATTATTCAGCCTTAAAAAGGACAGCAATTCTGATCACACATGCACAGTGGTGAGGAGGCATGGCCATGGGGCATGCCAGGGGGCTGTGCTCAAGCTGGACCTTTGTATGCAAAGGAACAGGACCTCACAACAGGATAAAGGGAAGCAGTTTTGGCATGCAAAACTGGGAGAAGAATAGGAGAAGATGCTGCAAAAGTAATTACAAGCAACATCCTTGATCTCTGGGATGCACATCTTTGAGAGGACAGCTCTAAGCCTTTCGCAGAGGCATTAGAAATGACCATGGCTGATAGAACCCAGAAGGCTCATAGCATCCATTTTTCCTTTCCCTTCACACCCTAATCCATCCAGGAAGACTTCCTGGCAGAGCTATACCAGGTTTTGGAGGCAGGTAAGATCAGGATATTTGAGAGTCCAACTGATATGGAAAGGGACCAGGTGACGAGCTCAGCCACCTCTGCCCTGGGCCACATGCTATGTCCAGTTAACCAATTCAAGCCTAGAGCCACCATCTGAAATGAGGTCTATACTTTTCTGGTCCTGTTGCTACTTAGCATTCAGGACACCACCACCAAGGCAGCCAAGGCCTGCGGGGGAGCCCTGAGTGGGCCAAGGTTGTTGGGCTGTTGTTACTCACCCAGACCTTCCAGCATACCATCCTCAGCAATCACCTCCAGGTATTGGAGGAAACAGGCAAGTACCTGGTCCACACAGGCAAAAACTAGCTCATTGGGGAGTTACTGTCCCAGAGCTTTGGCTTCCTGAAGAGCTGTCAGACCTTCCTCAGGGCAGCTGCGTCAACTTCATAAGATTAACAGTTAAGTGGACACACATGAATCACATACATGAGGATGATGTGCCGGTGATAAGGAATGCTCTTGAAAGTGTGGAGAATGATCTTGAGCAACCTGTCCAGTCCTCGGTGGGTGCTGTCCTGAAAGAAGCTGACACAAGTGCTAATTCCCAGTTCACCCCTACTCTCAGGATGAGCACAATAAGTAGCAACGTTCTCAAATCCATTGGCATCAAAGTCCCAGAAAGAAAGAAACACCTGTTCAAGATTATGAAATACGAAGGAGATAATGACAATCGGAAAAAGAAAATCGGCAATTGGTTCCAAGATCTTCTAAATTTCTTGCACAAATTGTACAATAAGAAGGTGAAAAGGGCTCCACTTATAAGGGACAATGTAAATAAGTACCCATGTACAAGTACCCATGTCTAAAGGTCCACCTAAAGAAGATGAGTCTGTCTAAAGGCCAGTTGTGAGTCACTATGAATATTTAGAGCTGGGGACTAAAGCTTCTTCCAGTTGTTTGTCCAGGTGTCAGTGAGACTACTCCATAGTAGAATCTGTCACCTGTGGTCCAATGGGAT